AACAGATTGGGTGAGAGATAGAGGTGTAAAAATTCAACAGATCAGGTGATAAATTTCAACAGATAGCAAAATTTTAAATAGATGAGGAGAAAAAATTGAATAGATAGTAAAAAATTTGAATAGATAGATATAAGTTTGAATAAATAGTCAAAAAAAGGTTAACATATAAATTAAGGGGTAAAATTAGAAATAAAATGTCCTCCAAAACCAACAAAAAAACTTATCACCAAGCTATTTTACAAATGGTAGACTTTCACTAATAAAAAAGTTTCATTGGATCTAATACCTTATACTCTTTTTAGCTTAGATTTTTCAATAATTTACGTTATTTTGAAAATAGGACTTTATGGGTTTTAAAAAAAAAAAAAGGGTTAAAGGAACACCAACCTTACTAATAAGACTTTTAGGTTGTATTTGGTCGGAGGAATGGAAAAAAGAAATACAATCATATTTTTATTAAGTCTTATTGAAAATAAGTCATACTAAAATCATTATTAAAAATAATTTTTTGTAATAATTTTTTGCATGTCGTAAAAATTCATAATTAGTAACTTTTTTAATCACGATTTTTTTTAAAATTGTCACTAAAACTTACAATTAGCAACATTTTTCAAATTGTCGTTGAAAGTTGGAAATTAGTGACGCTTTTTTGTGACATTTTTTTTAAATTGTCACTAAAACTTATTGTTAGTGACTTTTTGTAAAAAAATTTGCAAACTGTCGCTGAAAATTAATAATTATTGACATTTTTCAATAGTGTTTGATGAAAAATATCATTAGTTACCGTCAGACATTTTGTTCAATAAATTTACTTATTAGAACCTACACTTAAATCTCTCCATATTTATTGACAATGTCTTTGCAACTATTTATTGAGCACAAATTAGACTCAATACCTTTTTTTTTTTATAATTTTTTTAAATTTTATTATTATCGCTGGATAAGTTAATATCATCACATATATTTATTTAAGGGTGATTTTTTTCATATTTTTTTCAAAAAAAATATATTTAGAGAAAATTACAGAAAAAAATAAAAAAAATCAAATTTTAATTCTTGTAACAAAATAAATTTTTAATTTTATTAATTTAAACTCTAAACTTTTTATTTATTTTCAATTTAAATCATTTACTTATTTTCATTAAGTAAAATTGATGAAAAACTAATTATTTTATTCATTAAACTCGGTAAAAAATTTATTTTAGATATTTTATGTATATTTACAGTGAGATTAATGGTTAAAATACTCTATCTTTATTAATTTTACGTAATGAAAATAGACAAATAATTTAGATTGAAAATAAATCAAAATATTATAATTTAAAATGACAAAATTAAAAACTTGTGATTTATTTTATTAAAAGACTCAAACTCTAATTTTTATTTATTTATGTATTTTTTTTTATATAGTTGCCCTTATATTTATTTAACCTTGAGAGACCTTAATAACTTTCTCATTTGGTTTCTCTCAAGTTATGTTGGGTTGGGAGATTTAGCAAGGGATTTGGAGAAAAAAAAGAAGAGAAAAATGTATAAAATTATATGAAATGTAGATATATTTTATTCACATTTTATCTATATTTTCTATTTTCTTTCTAAATTTTTTTTTTAAATATCTCAACTAAACGCAGCATCAATGTATTAATTTCGAGCAGTGGAATCTCACCAGATTAACGGGACGATTTTGCCCATTGGTGACAATTTTGATACCAGGGTTGTACCACTGAACCTGAGCCATCTTCAATGCTACTTATAACATTAAAGCATGCCCAACATGCACGTATTTCCCGTGGGGTTGCAATAATGAGAGGAATATTATAGCATTAAATTCTTTTTCAAAAATATTATCAACACAAAAAAAAAAAAATAAAAAAATAAATTGTACTCATCTTTTCTGTTATCTAAAAGAAAATATATAGTATTTTTTTTAATTTGGAATAGTAAGCCACTTTGGTTTAAGCAAAAGAAATGCAAGTAGTGAAATTATAAGTACTGAGGAATTATCTTGTCTTCCAGGAATTCCAACTAGGTTGTGTGCCCTCCCAATTCTATTGGTTGCTTTATGTAATACATATGAGAAAAAATAAGAAATAATGGGTATGTAGCCAGTAGAATTGCAAAGGCATACCACATAGGACATGGGGCAGACCTATGTGATAATTTTTCATTAGTATTTGTGAAATTCTTGCAGTAGTATAAATTGGACTGGAAGGTTGCTGAATCATTTACGGGAAATGAGTTAATTCCCATTTGAAGACTTAGAATGAAGTGGAAGGGTTGAAAAGTTATGAAAGAAATTAGACCATTGACCGGAATGTAAGAGAATTTATGTTATCAAAGCCCAGTGAAAGGCCATCATGAGCAATTTTTTTTTCTTAATACTTATGTTGCAGTACATCTAAAGTTGTTTCATTTTTTTTTTTTTTGGCCGAATGTGTGTTTTTTTCTTTTGCATTTCCATCCATATATCTTATTCTGTTCTTTCAATAGTAAGCAAGAGAAACCACAAACTTGAGGAAAGGTGTAAATCTTAATTTGTGGGTTTCGATACTACTTTTCATTTTCAGGTCTTGGAAGCACTAGATGTACTCAGGAAAAAATCCGATGCACAACCCGAAGAAGTACTTGCAATCGAGCAATTGATTGCAGAGGCCTATTCAATTATTGATAAGGCGGTGAAAGTGGGAACGTTGCACAGGAACACTGGAGCAAGAAGGAAGTCTAGGCTTGCAAGGAGAAAGAAGGCTGTTGAAATTCACCATGGCTGGTATACCCCTTCTCCGGCTCTCACTGCCTAGTACGTATTAACGAGACCAGATTGTTTGAAAAATTTTCTTGTTTCTTTTTACGAGGGGATGATTTCTATCATATTTTTTGTCACTGCTGTTGTATATTTTCTTCAGATGCAATGCAGCTCTAGTATTTTTCTTTGTTTTATGTAAGTGTATTTACTTGGTTTCTATGGTTCTGTGGTTCTCAGTTGAGAATTTAATATAGCCAGCTCTAGTTATAATCAATTAAACAGCCATTACCAGTTCTAAGCCTGCCGCATCATAATTAAAGAAAATACTTAAAAACCAATGTGGAGTGTTTTTTATTATCTCGAAAAGTGTTTTCAACTTATATTTTTTGATTATCAATTTTGTAAAATGTTGCACCACACTGGATTTTGTCACTTGTCTTAATACACTTTGGAAACACAATTATGCCTCAAGAATTTTGTATTTTAAAACTTCCACCGTATGGTGTGGTTAAGAATATCTTTAATGCTTCATCAAAATTTTTATCAAATTTGAATAAAAATTTGATCTGATATGATACATTTTAATTGTTTCATCAAATCCAACCGGTCATCTGGTCTATAGTAATTTTTCATCAAATCTTTCTCAATTTGGTTGTTCACTCGGTTGATCAGCCAATATTTTAGCAATGGCCACCATTTTACCAATGGTCACCTGCGAAATTTGATGAAAGGTTAAACGTTTCTTTAATTTGGTTAAAAAAGTATGGCTTCCTTCATTTGATATTTATTTGATAAAATCGTTGGAATATTGTTTTTATCAAATTTAAATTTAATGAAAAGTACATATATGAATTGGAGATGGTCTAAGATAAGTTTATTGGAATAAGGACTTTGGGTTGTGTTTGTTTGGGGATCATGTCATGGAATTGAAATATGCATTTTTGCAATTTGGATAATTTTATTTTCATGCACTAATTCCTCTCAGTTCAACACTTACTAAAAAATTTTCTTAATACAATTTTATCTTAAAATAAAAATATCATAATACTCTTATCTTCTTCCACTCAATCCATAATTCTAAAATATCACAACCATCTTCCATCATTAGCGTCTCCTCTTTCCACTGTCATGCTCTTTTGTCGCCTCTTTCCTCCTTCACCTGCAACTACATCCACCATAAATCATACATTTTCACAAATCCAT